ATTTTATAGATTAGAAATTAGGCTCTTGGAGATGGTCAATTTTGAGTGCTAATGGAAGATGGCCATGCCAATGGCCGTTAGGAGGTGGTGGTCGATTTTGGGTGAGGTGGTGGTGATGGTGGATTTTCGGTTTTGGGGGGGTAAAGGAGGAGAAGATTTTTTTTTTCCCTTTTTATTTTGTTTTCTTCTTTTTTCTGTTGTTTTTTATTTAAGTTTTTTTGTGAGAAAAATATAAAATTACAATTTTACCCTTTTATAATTGATTAATATGTGGTTATAGTTCAATTTTTCGGTCAACTAATAGAAATATGGATGGAATCCATCAATTAGGGCTTTATCTGCAACGTTTTAAAAGGTTTGGAGTAACAATTGCAACAAATGAAAGTTCAGGGAAAAGTTTGCAACTTTTTAAAAGGTTTAGGATCTCAACTGCAATTATCCATTTTTAAAAAGATCATTAGTTTGAATTCTTAAGGAAAGCAACTTTGTTATTTCTATCTACTTACTGTCGTGGACTCTATATGATGATTATATTTTCTTCACGCATCTCTTTGATATTGACAAAATTCACATCTCGTCTTGCAGTTTGCACTCTATCAAATTTATCAAATAAACTATAATATTGTTTATGGTACTTATTAAGTAACTATTTTGTCAAATGAAAATTATTTATATATAAGGACTCGAAAAATTACTTCCCGGATATTATACAATTTGCCATTTTTTTCAAATTTTATTTCATTAGGTGATTTAAATTAAGTGTGTTTCGTTTAGTTAAAAATTTTGTATTTTGTTTACCAATTGTCACTAGCCAAGTGTATCATGTCTACTATGTAAAGAATTGAGAGATTATTATTAAGTCAAATATCGCATTCACATCGTAATCTTTATCCAAACACAGCCTATCAGCTTGGACACGTAAAACAATAGGAAACCACGTTCCGCTCATGCAAAAATACACGCACTTGGAGCCCCCCAGGGCACATCCAAGTTGGCGGAACAATCACATTGGGGGGCTCTGGAACCAAGTGTGGGGAGTTCGATTCCTGGTTGGAGCAGCCAAGTGATGTAATAACCAGAGGAAGGGTTGGAGCAGCTTGGTGATGTAATAACCATGGAGGAGGGTCCCTTTGGGGAAGGAGTAAAAAGCCATGTGGGAACCTGGGAACCAATAAGGGCACAACCTGCGATTTACCTCCACTAGTCACTGAGGGGCCGGGGGCTAGAGGTCCAGGATTTAGTCCGGCTAAGCTGGGACACCTGGGTTATCAAAAAAAAAAAAAAAAAATACACGCACTTGGATTTTGTCAAAAAGTGACTGAACCTGCCATGTTACAATTTCAACATCACAATAAATAAATAAATAAATAAATATACATTCACTTTAAATTTTATCTATTTTAATATATACATGTATATCCATAATTTTAATTAAAATTTTTTTTTTGGTCATGCTCGCCTCATTGCATACAGATTTATTTTGACGTCGATAGAGACTTGTGATAGTATTTTGATAGATTTTAAAAGTAAAAAAGATGAAAAAGAAAAAGGAATAATTGTGGCAGGAAGTGTATTTTGGATCAGAACAGTGAATTTTAGGACATTCGGATTCTTCTATGTTGACACTGACTCGTGCGTGTGAGTTTGCATGTTCAACGGTAAAGAGAAATATCATTGCAACCTTCCAAATTCAAGGAGCCTTCGTACCCACCCGGCTGTTGAAGGTGACATTTTAGTGCTTTCTTTGCTCCCTCCTTAACTACAAGTGACTAGAATATTCACAATTATGCTTGATATGTTAAATAAACGAGAAAATAAATAATTGTTAATCTAAATAATCGGTACGACCTTTAAATCAATAATTTCTGTCAAATTCCTGTTAGAATATTGTGTTACTTGTACATTCAGATAAACAGCTAAGCATGAAGATTATGATTTCAAGAAAAATGATCAACGACAGTTGGTAATCCGACTGTCAAATATTGAAAATAAATAACAACATGAGAATATAAAATGGGGAAATATGAAGTGTGGAAGAGACTATTTTTGGGGATTTCTTGCTTACATAAGTTATTTGAGAATACTTTAGTCCCTTTTTCATAACTATTATTTCAGAACTCTTTAATTTTCATAATCATTTTCAATCACACATTTACAAAATAAAATATTTTGCATGTAAATTCAAAATTTTTTCTTACTTTTTAACTACACATCATTCAAAAAATCACTAGTCAAAACTTCATTTTCTCAAACTAATGACCATCAAACAAGGATATAAATTGATAAAGCAGTTACATGGACTACAAGTGAACCAGAAAGTAACAATCATTTCTTAAATAAATTTTGTTTTACCTTTCTATTGATTGTTTTATTTAATATGTTAAAGAAAGAAGTCATATATATATTCATCCCTCAAGAGTACTTTATTAGTTAATAATTTTTATTGCAAAAGATCTAACGTGAGCGGTATGCATAGTTTTTCCATAAATGAAGGGTAAGAGATGTGAAATCAAGTTATTCATTTCAACTGCAATATCCTAACAGTCAAATGTCCAAAAAAAATAATAATAATAAAATAAATAAATAAATAATAAAATTTTCTTCTTGAGAAAAAAAAGGGAAAATATTTTTTATTCCATATGTATCAAATTTGGACAGAAACTGTAAAAAAATTTAATTCATATAACTTCTCAAATTTTAGTATCTTGTGGAAATTGAATATTACATATTTCTTGTGTGACCTCGTAATCTATCACAAAATTCCAGACTAACAAAAAAAAACCTTATATTATTTTTATTTAACATAATAGGATTTTTTTTTCTACGATGAGTAAAACTGAAATATGATGAATCATCAAATGGATAGAACTTAACTTTTTCTTGCTTTTTTTTTTTTTATGAAATATATAATCTCAGATTTCAAACAAATAATATTATTAAAAAAAAAATGATATCACGTCATCATTGTAACTTACTTGAGCAGCTAACATTGAATGGTTAACTAAATATTAAATATTCGTAATTCAAAGTCGAGCTCAATTATCGCAACCTTTCGTAAATAGTTCAATTGAGCATCGGGTCGACCTTCTCATTTAGCCCCCGTTTGGTTCTCATTAAATTTCATTACATTACATTTCATTTTTTACTTTTCTATTTCAACCGCACAATCTTTCTTAAAATAATATTACATGTAAATCGAAAACCTTTTTTTTTTTTTCAATCACTTATTTTTCAAAAAAATACTATTCCACCTACTTTCATTTGTCGAAAATGGGGGCAGACGGGGCTTAACTCATGAAATTATTTTAATTTTTTTTTTTAAAACTTGAAACGTAATTTGTTGTCTTTATCTCTCTTATTTTCCACAAGCCGAATGAACGGTTAATATTTTGGTGCCCGATTTGAAAGACAATAGGGTACGGAAGTGCATTAAATTGCGTGGGGCCCAATCCTCGTCAACAACGTTATCCATTTCGTTCTCCAATCTAAGCCGCTGTGCTCTAAAAATCTCAAAAGATTTACTTCTGTCCCCCACTTTTTTCAAGCCAAATTGTCTTTATTATCATTTATTTCAAAACTAAATATTAAATATATTAGTAAATTGGATAACGTCGAAGTTGAAAGTTTTGAGGATTTGGCTGTTTCTATCAGGATTAAATCTCAGGATTAGGTCCAGGGCCGAGGTCTTGGATAACGTTGAAGTTGAAGTTGAAAGTTTTGAGGATTTTGCTGTTTCTAAATCCCAAGATTAGGTCCAGGGCCGAGGTCTTGGATAACGTCGAAGTTGAAAGTTTTGAGTATTTTGCTGTTTCTATCACGATTAAATCCCAAAATTAGGTCTAGGGCTGAGGTGGTGCAATCTCGACCTTGGATTTGAATTTTCAAAATTTAGATCGAGGTTGAGATCTGCCATCTCGAGTCTCGACCATGAATCTAATCCCTATCTCCCCCTGTTTTTGTAGCAGAACCCAGATTTTGAATTTTTAATGTCCACTAAAAGCAATAGCAAATGCCATCTATGTTTTGTTTCTAATGTTGTTGTTTTACTTTTGAATGTATGATTTTTAAAATGGTTTTTAGATTCAAGAATATGATTTTTTTTTTTATAATATAAATCATAATCATTCTAGGTGGTGTGCTATTAATGAAACAAAATAAAAAAAGTACAACTTGGAATTGGGTCTAGATTACCTCCATCAAAGGATAATATTATGCTTATTCCAAAACAACGTAGACAACACATGAGATAAAAATCGAGTATAGTTGATCAAGTTTTGATATTTCATGTGTTTTCATTCGTATTATATGTGTTGTGTTTGTAAGAGTCATATTTGAAAGAGGAGGCGAACTTAGAATATAAACAAGTTGGAATATCATTGAATTCATCTTAATCGTCATGTTCGTAATGAGGAATTAGGATTTAATCATAACTAATGAAATACCCAAGACTCATATAATTCGTATCATTTTGATTTTTGAATGTTGGCTTGGATTTTGTCTCCCTTACTGATCTCGCCAATTTGGTTGATTGAAGTAGTAGTCGACTTGTATGACTTGGGTGGAACCTCCTAGAATATTAGTCACGAGGTCATCGACCAAATTGTTGAGGTACATAATATCATAATTACAGGATTTTCATTATTCGTCGACATCATAGGACCACAGAAAGAGTATGCGTTTAGAACAGACGGACGGATACATTGATACAATGTTTCAAAAACAGCTATATATACACCATTGTTAACTGTTGTAGTACCCACCCAACTGTAATAACTTCTTCTATTCTTATCCAGAGTTTACAAACTGTTCATTCTTGGGCCTCAAATCTCCTCGAATATACGACGCCGTTTACGTCGTATGTCTTCCTCTCTCTATGTGCACTGTTTCATAGATTGGCATAGTGTAATAATTGCAAGTAATCTAGACGCAAACGGTAGCGTGTTTCCTCGTCATCTCATCGACTATAAAGTATAAAAAGAAAACTGAAGAAGAATGTGAAAATGTGGAAAATCTTGGGTTTACCCACGTAATATTTTAAAAAATTTGTAATACTGTTGCAAAATTCTTTCCTGTTATATCATTCACTGATTCAAGGGATCATGCTAAAAACCTCAGATGCCCAAAAAAAAAAAAAGAAGAAGAAGAGGCTTATGGGGTTTGATTCTCTCTTTCTTCCAATTCAATTTAAAATATATTCTAACGCAGATATGTTTTGATGCTAATATTTTTCAGATTTGTTTCTGCATAGATTGTTGATTGGATTTTTATTTTTATTTTTTTGGTTGTGAATTTTCAGGGGAATTTCTCTATTGGATCTTGAATCTATTTCCGTAAATTATCAGAAGAGAAATGGACTGCGGTATGAAGCATCAGATAATTTCTCATTCATATGTAGAGGATGAAAGCATGATGGATATGGGATCTGCAAATTACGGGTATGTAATTCTATATTTTCCCTTTCTTTTTGTTTGCTGATCTACTTCTTTTTGCTTGAGTTTTTAACTTTTCGGCCATTTTTTTCTTGAAAAAGTAATTTCAGTAGCAGAATTAAATCTGGTATTAATTTTAGAGTATATTGAATAAATTTTCAGCTGCTTGCATTACCAGAGAAGGTGTAAGATTAGAGCACCCTGTTGCAATGAGATATTTGATTGCCGGCACTGTCACAACGATGCAAAGGTTTGAACCTTGTTATGTCAAAAAAAAAAAAAAAAAAAAAAGATTTTAGCAGAAATTATTGTAGAGTATAACTATTGTTATTCTTGAACAGAATTCAATAGATGTCGATCCACTTGAGCGTCATGATATTCCCCGTCATGAAATAAAAAGGGTTAGTTTTATTTACTCGTCTTTGCATTTGATGCATATGTTATTATCTATGTTAACATAATGTGGATACAAATAGATGGTCAGTTTTAGTAATTTATTCTAATTTAAATGACAAGAAGGAATTTATTTTCTCTTTTACTGAAAAATGAAAATGAAGAAATGGAGTTTTTGTCAAAATTTCAACTTTATTACTTGTCTGAAAATGTTGTTTGATACCATGATACAGCTTCTTATAGATAAGGCATTGATAAATACTTTGTTTTGTTTCTTATCCTCTTTTTCTTTCTCCTTTTTCTCATTGACATTGATGTTATCCAGACTGCGTCAAGAAGTTTGTATTTTTTTGAATTTTTTTCTAGAAATCTGTAAGAATATTCGTGTTCCAAATATTTTCCTTAAAATTTCATTATGCTTCCTTCATCTGTAATTAACTAAACAAACATATGGTCAATAATACGTTCGATTTTACTAATTTTGTTTTATATCTGTCTTCAGGTCATCTGCTCTTTGTGTAACACAGAACAAGATGTGAGTTTCATCCTTCGAAATTCGTAAATAGATGTTAACAATTGACAATTTACTAAATTTATGCTGCTGGATGATTTACCAATTTTATTTGCATTTAGGTTCAACAAACTTGTATTAATTGCGGGACTTGTATGGGGAAGTACTATTGTTCAAAATGCAAATTCTTTGACGATGATGTAAGCTTATTTGATTAAATTCTCAAAACAGTTCATACTTTTTTATCACTTAAATAACCCACTTTTTTTTCTTTTTTCTTTTTAAAGGAATCGAAGAATCAATACCACTGTGATAAATGTCGAATCTGCAGGTTAAGATCTTTTCTGATGGATTTATTTTATTTTCCCATTTGCCAGACCATGGTGCTTTATGCTCCTCCCATCTCGACTCAATCTTCGTACGACTATTGTTTTGTGATAAATTTTCCTGGCATATGAACTCTGTAAAGACAGAGTTTTTCTACAGAATTTTTGTTTATGGCCAATTCGTTTTTCACTCCTTTCTTGAGTAGATAATTTCATTCAACTCTCTGAATATAGTTTTCTTTCTCTTTTGGACTTTTGTCACAACAGAACTGGTGGCAAGGAAAATTATTTCCATTGTGACAGATGTGGTAAGTCATATTTTGATACGATTTTTACTCATACATAGTCGGGGTTATGAACCAAGAAGTTAAAGGCATTTGTCTTCTGTTTTAGGATGCTGCTATTCAAATTTATTGGAGTCACATATTTGTGTAGAAAGAGCAATGCACCACAATTGCCCGGTTTGCTTTGAGGTAAATATATGACGCTGCAGTTGTAAAAAGATAGTGTTTTGATTTTCTATTTTAACATTTTACATCTTGGAATGCAGTATCTATTCGATACCACAAGAGACGTTACTGCATTGCCGTGCGGCCACACCATACATCTCGATTGTGTTAAGGAGATGGAAAGACATTGCCAGTAAGATTTCCTGTCCTCTCCCTCAATTAAACCACATCGTCTAAAAGCTTAATTATTAGAGGTTGTAAATTTTGTGTTCGACACCCTTCCTCACGTGAAGGCTGAAAAGGCCCCTTTGTGCATTATTATTATAAATGGATGTCAGAAAGACTAGAACACAGAATTTTGATATGATGTTGAACCAATTTTTATTTTTTGTAAAGCTTGAGTTTCGTTCTTATTTCATTTCCATCAAAGGCGTTCATTCTAATGTTTTCGGCATACAGGTACTCTTGCCCGGTTTGCTCAAAATCATATTGTGACATGACCCTCATATGGGAGAAGCTGGATCAGGAGGTCTGCATATTCATAGTGATCGTTTTTTTTTTCCCTTTAAATTTTCTCCTGTATCCTGACCATCTCTTTTTTTACTTGGAAATCCAGGTCGCTTCAATACCTATGCCAGAAATGTATCAAAACAAGATGGTAAGAAACAAAGTCTCAAATCATTAAACCCGTATAATGCTTTCGTTACTAAGATATCTAATCTGAAACGCGTAATATTTGATGTCTCGGTAATTTAGGTATGGATCCTCTGTAACGACTGTGGAGAAACATCGGAGGTGAACTTCCATGTCGTAGCGCACAAGTGCCTGAATTGTAACTCCTACAATACAAGGCAGACAAGAGGAGGTCATTCTTTGTGTGCGTCTAGGATGTCAGAAATGGTTAGTTGATTGGATAAAAGAAGGGATTTATCCATTTGTTCGTTCGCTCTTCGCCAAGTATATCTGTACTTCTCAATGGATGGAGCATAATATCATACTGGGGTTCTCATCTATCTTTTTCAGTTGATAGTAGAATCCAGTCATCATTCTGAAGAACACATCCATTTCTGCTATTTTACATTTTTATGAAAATTAATGAAATTTTTTTTTCATCACAAGCTTGACATGGGTCTTCTTTATGTTTGAAACTATGAAAAAAATATGATTGAGTGGATGATACATTAAAAGGAATGATATAATTTATGTCTAAACTATGTATACGACATATTCCATATTTCCTTGTTATGGAGTTTTGCTCAAAAATAATGATGAATAACGCTAGTTTGCCCAAATTTTTTTACTTGAATGGTGGACATCCTCTCACATGTCGTGAGTCCCCTGTGAATAAAAGTTTTCAAAAAAAAAAAGTGCCCCCCCCCCTCATTGTGAGAGTCAGTCACCCTCTTTGTCAAAAAAATTCGATCACTATAGCGGGATTGAATAATGATTCACTATTTTTAGCCACATTTTCTTATTCTTGGACATCCTGATAGTCCAATGATCAGGCAACTATGTCACACTTTTAATTTGCTACTCTTAAACTATTAATGACTTCATCCATAATACATTATAAAGATAAGAGTAATATTATTCGTATTCGCTCCACGTGGTATTCTACTTGTGATTGTTGGACTATTATTATGAAAATTCATTTGATCGTTTCATTTTTCTTAATTATTAAAATCATGACACGTAGGATGTCATATACAATGATTAATATAGTCACTCATTATGAATAACATTATTTTAAAAATAATTTTCCCTTATTTTTTTGGGACTGTAGGCAGCCACCTATGCTGCCTAAGTCCATCCAGGGCCAGCCTTAAAGGAGATATTGAGACTATCATAAATTGAATATGTGCTCTGTTGGTTAGAATTTAAGTGTCGTGCTTGAATATCTTCCGAAAGTGAAAGTAAAAGAAATAGTCCGTTGAAGCTTCACGTGAAATTCTCGTGTCTCTTTCTTGTTATTATCGCTTTTGTTCTTCAATAGTTCCAATCCCGATCACAATTTATTCACAATCTAAATGTCTAATATTGTAGGTTTTTATACCGTATATGTAGTTCGAGGCATTTTTCTATTTTTGAGTGATTTTTCATACGAGATTTACTTTATTCTTGCTATATTTTCTCTTGCTCAAGTGCTAGACAAAGTTATTGGAGTCATGTAAAATTATAGAAGTAGGTGGAAGTTGAGGGAAGTTATGAGTTTGAATTATATTCAAACCACTCCTAATCCACTTTATGAGTTTGAATTATATTCAAACTACTTCTTCTAATTCACTTTAATAACTTGTGGGTCGGGTTTTCAAACATGGACCAGCCACAACTCGTATTTTTCAATAATTCTAAATTATTATATCTCCTACTTAATTTTTTTTCCCTATATACCCACAAAATAAATAAACGATATACAATCAAGAAAACGCCAAAACAAAAGGAATATCTGTATTTTTATTTATCACTTGTCTACTTTTCATTTTATTAGCTTTTTAATTAAAAGACGCTAAAATATCGGAATTTCAAGAAGTTACATTCAAATATTATCTTTTAGAAGATAAATACCAGCTAAAAAAAAAAAAACAGAACGAAACAAAATTCCACTGTACATCTGGTTGTATTTGCTTTGAACTTCCAACTTCGGAGAAATCATTTCATCATAATAACACGAATGAGAATTAAAGGCTTAATTTGAACGTAATTACTGATAAATAAAAAACATTCATGACAAAATTATATTCCCTGATGCATATCACAATGTGGTTGAAAGACGAAGTAATATATTTGATATTTACATTAGAGTCTATTTTCTATTTTTGTTCGACTAAATTCAGGAGCGGAGGGGAAGAAGGGAAACCGTCGACTTTAGCCCGGGGCATATAATTATTGGTAATATTTTTATTTCAGTCCAATACAAATTTTGAGTCGAGTTAAATGCTTTCTTTGACGAAGAATATATTACTAGTTTGTTTCCCATTTATGCAAAAATGAAAATGAAAAATATGTTGATAATAATGTAGGGAAATCTGAATACGTTAATGAACTCCAAGGCACGAAATGAAACGTTATCTTTTAAGAGATGTTTCTCTCCTATTCAACAAAGTCACAACGGGGTATAATAGAAAATCTCTTTCAGGATACAATGGAGGTGTTTGATGCAAATTGTAACTATTTGATCAAACCAAGAAAACACTCGAATATAACTGATTGATGCCAAGAGAAAGAAGGAAGAATAAATTGTTTAATGTGTTTGCAAATGAGAATTCGCCTAGAATTTATAGACACTGAGGCAACTGTTTGAATAGGTGTATCCCTTGAAAGTGACTGTTAAAAATGAACAGATGCACTTATTCAAAAACTTTTAAAAATAAAATTCTCTTTCAGGGGCGTTGCCACCGAGCCCCCACGGGGGTCGCTGCCCCCTCGACCTGACCGGGCAGGTCGAACCCCGTTGCGCAGCGGCAAACACTAATTCGGACGGCAAATCATTCGCAAAACAAAAAATTAAACACATGCAAAATGATGAAAAATATCTAACAAAATATAGTCGTTATGAACCACACACAAAAGATAAAAATTCAAATATGATTGTTTGATGTGATGAATAACAATCATATTTTTCATTTTAATGGGGGAAATAATGGAATACAAACAAGGGCTAAGGAAAGACGAGATGAGTGAGTTGAGGAAGCTTATTACATTTCTAGGTGACGAGGACAACACCATAATAAGTGGTCACCAGCCAAACAATACAAGACTTGTACATAACCATTTACACAATATTTTACATAATGATGAGATGTCAAAAAGAAAGTATAGGAGTTTTTCTTTTATTGACCAATCAAGTAAAGTAATACTATTTAACCCCATTGAAGTTATAACCACAATTTATATGACGCTAATGTGGCATTAAATAATAAAAACAATTAAATCTAACTTATTACCTAACATTACAAAGACTGAGACTATAACCTCAATGAGACTAAATAACATTACTCATGTTATTATATACATGTAACACAACCGCTTTTGTTATACCCATTACTCATTTATCTAGTCAAACGGATATCCATCTACCACTAGAATGATATCCATGACTTTCACTTGACGAAATTGTCATGTATTTGACTTTCATCAAACGTATCAAATTGACTCGTTATACTTACCCCTATATAATTAACAATCTGTTTGGGAGGAATTTTTTATCCAAAAAAAATTGATTTTTTAACCGTTATTTCATTATTGCAGCTATAATTTTTTACTTCTTCCCTTACAAGTGAATCCCACTTTTCTTCTAACAGTCAAAAAATCAATTATCAAAATCCCTCTCCAACGAGGCCTAAATGTCATCAATTGCTCAAATATCTATTCAAACTAGTATACATCCATCATTGAAATTAACAGTGTTACAATTAACTTTCTATCGTTTTAAGTTGATCGTTTTAAGTTGCAAAATATAGATTCCCAAAAATTCCAAAAGACGAACTCAAACTACCCAAAATAATTTATGCTTTCATGTCAGTATTAAAACCCACGTAAACCCTATTTTCTGCCTAGGTAGACTACAAGCATACTATTTCAGTAGAAAACACAAAGGGAAAATACATTTATTTTCTATTAAGAGAATGGAGTACTTTAATCAATCCTTTTTCAATTAAATTTGAGGTCTCCAAGGAGAGGGGCCATCATATGTTTGATTTTCTAACTTAACTAGAATAGAAATATCGATTGTAAAGAGGGTTTCACTTTCAAACCCTGCATAAGGCCAAATTGTAATGAGGGTTCACTTCATTTAAAATTGGGCGTTAGAAACTTGATAATAAAAATTTAATAAAATTTTACCGTCAAATCTTGCTATTTGAAAAAAATAAGGTGGAAACCAAATGCAAGAAATACTTCACAAGCCAGTCTTAGTCTGCAGCACATATCGATACATCTAAGTTACATTACTAGCTGCTTAACGTGTAATCTTTAATGATTGGGTAAGGCAAAACCAAAAAGGAGAGAACATAAAAAATGAAATACCACAGGGGAAAGAGGTTACTCTTGGATTGGGACTAATCATTGCATTCCAAAAAAGCAATAGCCATATCCCTTCAGCCTTCTTGTGCAGCAGCGGCGGCGGCCAATCTCTGCCACATCAGTTCTCGTTGTTCTTCCAACTCTCTGGCCTTTTCTTCCCTTTCTGCATATTGCCTTTGGCATTCCTCGAATAACTCCGCATCCATCTCAAAAAACATTTTCCGAACGTTGACAGTGAGACCATGCACTGCCTGATTCCAGTGGGACTGGATATTCTTTTCTAAAGCATCGAAGATAATTGGCAAAATGACATTCCGGTTTTGGGCAATCAAGCTTACTACATGTTCATTATTCCACAGAAAGAGTGCTCGTTCCGCAACCTGAAACATTACTTTGCCTCAGAAAATACTATGAAGACTGCCTCAATTAATATCATTGATAAACAACTTTTGAGCAAATACTTCTCTCTAATCAACAGATAAGAGAATTATTTCCTCTACATTCTGCATGCACAAAGTGGAAGAAAAATAAAACCTAGGATCCAGACCCTATACAAGTACAACTTATTATTAAAAAGAAAAACTCCTACTAATCAAACCAAATTTGTAGTTGGCTCTCAATGCAACTTGAACTTTTCATCTCCAAGAACTGAAATCTCACTTTCCAGTCAGTAAAAAACTTAAAATATATACAATAGCAGTTATATTCTTGTCTTGGTACAAAATATACTAGCTGTCCAGCAGACAACTTTTTCAGAGTAAAAACACACAGAAGTGCAACAACATATCCAATGACCAATAGAACTCTGATTGGAGTGGCACAAGACAATTTATTTTAGAGCAGCAAACAAGCAAAGCCACAAACCAACCCAATGTTCCACAGAGAGAAGATCTGCAGCTAACTGATTGTGAAGTTTTAAGTGCTATTTCTGCATGTTCCCAATCTTAGATTCATTCAGTCACAATGTCACACCATCATGTTTAGTTAAATAAGATATCAACCAAGGAAATGTCTTTATGGAGTTTTTTAAATCTTTATCTATGTAGCAATTTTTCAATTCCAAAGAACTTCAAAAGCTTCAAAGAAAAATATTGTAAAAACC